TAAACGAGCATAAAGCAGTCTTGTATCATCGCCTACCAACATTTTACCAATGCGAATTGACCTGAAACAGAAAAACTTGTTAAGGGTTCAAAGATCAAACTTGAGATGTTTGATCTTTAAGAAGAAAATACCAAAAAAAAAAAGTTACTTTAACCAGCTGCAATTCATAGCATTTTTTTGCGGCTATCAAATGCCAAAAATGTTTTGACCAATGGTGCACTGCCCAGTGGTCGTTTTGACCGTGATTTTGGCAACTTGTAAAAATGTCAACTTTTCTTTTCCCTCAATAAGATATCTTTCAAAATGCGCTTCGATACCTTCATTTTAACTCTTATCTGTGAACACTCACACACACACACACACACACACACACACACGCACACACCCACTTCCATACACACCCCCAGGGAAAAACAGACTATTAACTTCTGGTGTTCCCCACCAGCTCTGCACAACTCTTCTGTGAGCCGCTTGACTGTGATAAATTTAACTGTAGGAAAAATGGATGAAAAAGTAGGAAGAATGGAAAAATTAAGAAATATTATCAATCGCTCGATTTATTGAAAAAAAAACTCAAAAGTTGCAAAAAACTGAAAGTTTTCATTAACCTGCAGCACTGGCGCAGCGCTTGTTCCATCGCTTCACCGCTACGACAGATTGATACACCACAGTTGCCACGACAAAAAGCAATGCCCTCGTAGGGTACGCCGGCTGGAGTTTCCACAACAACGTTTGTATAGGGCAGACGATTCAGGCCTTCTTCAATAACAAGCCTAATTAAGCGATCGGCGTAGAAGACAAAATCCGAATGATCGGTATCTCTGTAATAAATGCACACACCAAATATTGTACAGTACCAATCGCTGCTAAGGAGAAGATGAGCTTTAAGAAATTCAAACAAAGCACTTAGGAAATAGCATTTTTGATTTATCAATATGCAAATTCAGGCAGATGAACTATTTCCTTACTTCCTGCGTAGAGCTTCTGCAGCATCTTGTCTATTTCGGGAGGACTACTGATAATAAGGGAATTTAGTAATCCGCGAAGCGTAAGTGATTCAGCTGCTCCCCAGTGATCTCTAGACCACTTTTCCAAGAACACCGTTTTCAACCAGGCCGTGAAAAGCCTGGCTGGTATGGAAATCCTCTTTCGACTTCCTTTAGATTTGCATCTTTCCAAAAAACGAACAATCGCTGGGAAAACGACCGGGTTTCATGTAAAAAACTGATAACCACGTACCTACAGGCCCACGTCTTCATAATGCAACAGCTTCATCCCAACCGACGTCCTTTCCCCCTGCATGCCGGAAGAGGCCAAAACACAGCTAATATGATCACCTGCCTCACTCCTCTCGATCGATATTAAATTGAAATGTGGCATCTCTCGAGCAGCTTATGTTCGCTTCCTTGACGATTTTTACACAGTCCTCATCGAGAACTCAAATAAACAACGCAAACTGAGTACAAGAAGCCTCATCTGCTCACCTGTCGTGGATGATCGTTTGCAGTTCGAGAACCTGATCAGTACGCTCCAATACGAAGACATTTTTGCCATCAAAGTCGTCAATGCTTTTTTGACCATTAGCCATCTACAGAAAAAAAAAAGAAAAAAAAAAACAATTAAAGAAGCAACAATTCAGCAAGCGAAATAATCCAATCACTTTGCATTTTGCCCATTCGTTTCGATGGTAAATTGGTACTGGCGCAATATCAACTTACTTCTAAGCAACCCTCGGAAGAGAGAGCCATCCCTGACAGCTTCATCAGCGGACACTCCTACTGGCACATGTTCGGGCTATTTTCAACTGTCTTCGCCTCTCACACGGAGTGAATAGGAGGGAATTTTTGACTTTTGACATGATAAAAGATGAACACGGCAGGTTGATTTGCGAAGTTGAGAGCAATAACCCGGAATTTTACCCAACCCATAACCCTCACGGTTGTATGCGTTGCAGAGAGCGGAGGGAAAAATTGGGACGAAAAATTCCGAAAATGAGGTTTTGAGGCGTAACCGCAAGTAATCTAAGGCCTAAATATGAGGAAGGAACTGAAGAGAAAATCCCCCAAGTAAATGCAAGCCCCAGCGAAATCAAAATGTGGAACGACCGGAATCATCACGTCAACAAGGTGAAATCAGCTTTTTTTGCCGCTTTTGGAAGGCCGAACCGTAATCTCTGAAGCAAGCAACGGTCGGAAACATGAAAAATGTGGAACGGCCAATATTGCGGGATGTTAAATTGGGACGGAGGTAATTTAATATGTTGAGCATCACCACCTTGTCTCGAATGTTACTACTGCTGTAGCCATGATGAAGCGCCGTACCGGCTACGGAGGATCGTGTCTTACGGATGAGGGGGTTTTTTTATTGTTTGGGAGGATACCTCATACGCCTCACTTTCACTGAGCAGCTGTAACATAGTGTTTTCCCATCCAGTGCCTTTGTAATTGTCATTGCCATGATATAATCAGTGGAGCCGTGAAAATACTGTGGTACCTAGTTGGACGGGTGCCAAACGCGATTCCGGTGTTTTACTGAAAAAAAAATTGCCCTCAAAACGCCCATTTATTGTGTTGCAGGAGTGATAATTCCATTAAATGCTAGACCATCAACAGAGGC